TTAGGAATAAAACAAAAAGCCTGGGACGTCAAACACAGTCAAAATAAGTCAAAATATGTGCTTCAGTGTACACTTTTTCCTTTTTATAATGCACATAATCCACAGCACACCATAAGCATATCAAGAGGGTGTCAATTTTTTTCAGCTGAAATATGTCACATAAGTGTAAGGGCCAGTTTTACATCTAGGAATAACAGCAGAACCACCAAGATATGTTTGACTAACTAATTAAAAGTACTGTCTTATTCCTTTGCTTCCTATGTTATTTTTAATAATCTTCCCTTCAGAGAGATCAGACCTAATGGATATTCATGTAAAGGACAGTTTGTCAGTGATGTCTGGATCTTTGAAATAAACCTTGTTATGTTATGCTAAATTAAGTTTTCCTGTTCCCAAGCCAGACCATTAGTTTTTGTTGTTTCTGTCGGGTTGGTTTTGTTGGGGTTTTTTTTTCCCTTTTGTGAATGCTATTACATCTGTGTAGACCTGGAAAACTATAACAGTCTAATCAATCAAGTGTAATAGAACAAAGTGGGTTTTGTGTGAATACGAAACTAATTCTGGTATTGTAAAACAACTAGAATATAGAAGAAAGCAAAGAAATGTAGAAGTATGCAGAACAAGATTATCTGAGTAGTATATTTTTGTTGAAATTATATGGAAAAATGTATTTTAGTAAAGCAGCACTCCTGTTTCAGAATATTAGTCTCACACAGAGTTACATAAATTTATATATGCTTTATCAAATGCATAAAAGGTCAGGTCAAAAAAAAAAAGGTGGAATTCAGAACAGTGTGAAACTCCCATGACATTCCCAGGGGCCAAAAGCAGAGCTGCTGTGACAAGGCACAACTCCATTTCGTCCCAGTGTGCAGTACAATATCTTGTTGCTGGGAAAAAGAGCCTGGTGTATTACCTTTGGTTAGGCTTGTACCAAACATTAGCATTCTAACACCAATGACTCAAGGTTTCCAGACAAGGGCTGTATTTTATATCTGCTCAGTGTTCTTAACAAATGAAGTACAAATGGGCTGGAATTTGTGCTATTTCATTTTCTGTACTACAGTTCTGAAATTTCTGAGACACCAGATTTGGTTAACTTGTGAATTTTCCAAGAGTCACTAAGACTGGCTGAAAAAGGAAATGTGAATGATGCTTGCAATTCACTCTGAATGTGAGGCAGATAATCATCATAGTAAAGTGCATTAAATATGACCTGCAGCTATTTGATCTTATGTTCTAATCCTCTCAGCTCTTCTAAACTGAACAAAGGTGGGTGAATCAATAGTGTGAGGATTTCATTCCAGGAGAAGAGGAGCATGTGCAAGTCAAGTGGAACAATATTGCCTTTTGTATCATTACTGAATAGATGTCCCTGCACACTGCACTGCAGTGATAATCTAAAGCTCTGAGGCTCCACAATTACTATGTCTGTGCTGGGATGTTACTTCTCTTTAGACTCTGCAGGCTTTTCCTTGTGCTCACCCCTATCACACCATGGTTTGATACTAGTGAAATAAAAGAAAAATGCCCTATATTTTTCCTTGACTCATTGGTGTCACCTTTTGCTTGGTTGCACATCTGTTGTGCTCACTTGCAGCTGATGGGAAGTCACCAGGCTAATAGCACTTACATAAATGTAGAGAGGGACAGCTCTGAACCTCTGGCTCTGAATGTGCAGAGAAGCAAACCTGAAATCACTGTGCTAGTGGTGCTTATTCTTTTTGGGTGTAAGAAGGAGATATATGACACTTTAAACGGAAAAGAAACCCCAAAACCCAACTCAGAAAAAAATTTGTTACTTTATTCTGTCCCAGTTCTATTTCACCTTTATATTATATCTATCTTCATCCTGTCATCTATGAAATTAATTTAGTGCCCCATAATTTCTAAATCTAAATGTCTAAATTTACTCTTTTCTGTTGAAATGAACTGAAGAGCTGCTGTATTTCACTGGTCTGTGAATAGAATAACTTACTTCCCTGCTTACCTCAGCAATGCATTTTGGAGCTTTCAAAGATAATAGTGTCTGTAGAGCACTTGGAAAACCTTATACAAGAGGCACCAAAACTATGCAAAGAACAACTGTCAATATTAGTGAATCACTTCAGCCACCAAGGGAAAGTGGGCTTCTGTTTTAATACAACAAATCATAGCAGCATTTACTGAACACTTTAAAGATAACAGCAGCTACATAAATACTAATAATTATTAAGGTTTCTTTGTGCAAACATTAATTGCATGGTGATAAACAGTATTGCAATTTTAGAGCCCATATACAGGCAGATTAAGCACCTTTAGGTTACAGGGAGCCCCAAATTGAAACCACCCCTCTCTCCAAAGGCTCCAAGATGAAACAAATGCTCCCAAAAAGAAGGTTTCCATGCCAGAAGTCTCATTTTGGTTGAACAGTGTCTTTGCTGAAGTTAGATCCAACTTCAGCCTGAATCAGGCACAGAAAGACTTCAGTGCCAGTTTTCCATGATGGATCCCCCCAGAGAGCCCGTGTGTTGTATCAGCCAACACTAACAAGGGCAAGAAGAGACCAACAAATCTTTACCTTTAAACTGTGCTAGCCCCATATTTCAAATGTTGTTCAGAAATAAGAAAAGCCCATAATAGCACAAGATTGCTCAAAAAAATAACCCAACCCCAAACCAAAAAACAACCTGGTAACAGCATCTTAGAAGGTCAGCAGATGCTCTGTATGGCACACAGGGGCCCAGGTGTTCTTCACATGTTTCAAGAGGTCCGTAGCTGCAGTGACCATTCATAGAGGCAGCTGGACACAGGAGTTGGAAAGTCCTACTCTGAGTGGTGAGGAGCACACATGCATCTTCCCATGGGTAGGCATAGTTGAAGAAGCTCTTTGCTGAGTAACTGCTCCCTTCGGGACAACTCTCCCAAGGAAATACACCTGGCAGAAAGGAATAGCCACCTGTAGGTACCAGAAACCTGTGTTTATTGTCTCAGCTTCCTTACTTCAGCTGTTGCAGGACCACTGTTGGCTTGCCTTGTCCTCTCTCCTATGCTCTGCTATCAGGAAAAAATAGGAGACCCTCACCAACAATGGATGCTTCCACATGTTTTAGGAGGACTGTGTGATTACTACAGCCTGTCTGATATTATTTATTGCATAGTTACTGAAGACCTTCTAATGCTTATTCACCTCCTTTACAAATATGAAAGGGCTTTTCACCTTGAAAGTGTTGTTGCCAGTTGTTGACCTGTAGAAAATTTAGGGTGAAAGTTCAATACTGAGGCCAGGCTGCCCAGAGTCACTTTATTGTTCTCCAAAATAGTATGTTCATCTTCAGCCCACTGGAGGCTCCAAATAAACCAGTCCTCTCCAGGACTGTTTGTTAAAGAACTTAGAGTACAGTCCCTTGCAATGCTGTGCAATTTAAGATCCCAATAAGGCTCTTGAAATTTCTGCATGCTCAGTACTTTTTAGTCTTTTGCAGAACTTAACCCTGGATACAGTCATCCTCTAAGCATCTTGCATAATTCTTTGGTTCTGTACCAGTTCATTGCAAGTTTCTGTTAGGCACAACATTATTTTAATTTAAAAATACAACAGCATAAATTACCTAAACAAATAAATGTTTCTTATTATGTTGTTGGAAAACTTAAAGCTTTCCTATTTAATGCAGAATAGAAATTGAATAGGAATTCCAGCATGCAAGAAAAGGTACACCTGGTACTGTTCTCTTCACCAGAGTGGTGATTTCTTACCTAACTTACTCACAAAAAGTATAACTTTATAATTTGATAATTCACATGGCTAATCTGCAATACATAAACTACATTCGTGTTGGCTCACCTACAGATTTCCTTTTAACTCACCAAAGCAAAAGTGCGGCAGTTCAGCTGAATCCTAGGCAGACATTTCTTAAACAAGAGTTATTTTGTGTCCTTACAATCTTCCTTGTCTTCAACTTCTAAAGCAATTCTTCAGTAGTTTGCCAGGGTTTGAAAGTGGGTGAAGTGCCTGGATTTATGTACTGAGCTAACTTTTTACCTCAATTCACTGTAAATTAATCTCCAATGTTTTTGTGGCTAACAGGACATGGTATATACTGTTTATACTGCAGAAATTACTGGGTTTTAACGGGGTGTCTTAGAGCAATATGGTTAAAACATTACTCCTCACAAGCCACTTGCAATTTGCACTGCCTTCCCCACACAGGCATTAGTTGCATGTCTAGGTGGCTTAACCACAACAAAGGCCAAAACTGCTGTTCAGAGTTCATTTTCCATGTCTGCAATAATTAGTAGGTCTGTTCAAGTATGGCTACATGTAACACTCTCACCAACTCTTGAAACACCTGTACACTGTTCACTTCTCCCTTAGCTCCTGCCACAGACCTGGGGAATGAGTGCTTTGCATAGTAGCTGGGGGTACTAAAACCATAGTGTCACATATCTGGGTGCAGAACATACAAACACCACCTGTGTAGCATCTGTGTGGTTTGTTGTGCCTGACAGCTGAGATTCTGATGTACTTGCACCTGTGGAAAAATGCCCTTTTGGGCATGGTTGGTTTGCTCAGCAACCAGTCCTCCTCTACCCACAAAAATGTGCACAAGGTTGGGGAAGGATCCCCATAAGCTGCGTAGGCATGGCAAAATCAACTGCTCCGCTGTGTTTCTGTTGCTGGACAGATTGGCAGATCAAGCTGCTGCAAATGAGAGGACATCCCCTTGCTTTTTGCTTGGTTGGTAGCTCTTGGCATCATTTGTAATACTCTTGATCATTTTTATGAAGCTTCATGTAATAGCCCTGGGCTGACAGGAGAACTTTTGCTGTTGTGATGGCTCAGGCAGCATCTCAACCTCTAGTCTCACCTGGCACTTGGAGGCGGAGAGGGATGGTCACTGCCAGGAAAGGGAGGGCAGGGACATCATGGGGCTGTTCCATGACCAACTAAATCCAAACAAGGTCCGGGTATCCTTTTGGCACACGGGCCGAGTGCTCCCTACCCACACTGTTACAGCACCTCCTGCTCTTGTCACGGTCCTGCATTCTGCGATGCCAGGTGGAGGCCCCAGCCTGTGGTCACCCTGTGGCAAGGGCCTGGTGCATTCAGGGAGCGTGTACTGGACAGGCTAATCAGTTCTGCAAACTGTTCCAACCTAGGATTATTGTCATGCTACTTGTGGTCAGGGCATATCTCTGTCAAACTGCATCTTCCATAGGGCTGCATTAGCTTTTCCTTTGCTTTTCCTTTGCACGGAGGAGTCGGAGGATGCGTTCATTTTTTGTTAGTTCTGCTGGCAATTCATTCGCCTGGAACAAAAAACCCTTGAGGTTAGCAGAAATGAATATTTCCCAATCGTTGTTGAAAGCATTATACTCTACAGAAGATTGTACTGGTCATTATAATGACATGGGTTTTTTCTAGTGTTGTCTCCACCACTGCTGGAGATATCTTAGGAAACCATTTTTCAGTGTTCAAGTCTTACTTAAGTCTTCAGAACAATCCCAGAATGTAATCTGAGTGACAGCTTATTTTGTGCTGACTGTCCATGCTAAATGCCTTTGGGGTCCCTCTTCCTGCCACAGAAGGAGAGCATAAGTACTGATCTTTCAGGGGAGATGAGTCAGGTCCTTATACAGTAATGTCCATAAAACTCCAAGGGACAACTTAAATTGATATGAAATAGTGTTATGCTGTAAGGTTGGTTATAGAAAATGAGTTTGGTTTTTTATTATTTATTGAATACAATTTTGGTAACACAAAGTATTTATGATGAAGCTGCTTCTTAGAATCAGTAATTCTGTCCTGCAAATATACTCTCTCATGCCAAATAGCATGTGTACAAAAATTAAAAAAAAAAGAAAAAAAAGAAAAAGAAATCAGTAGGAGAGGTTTCAGCCACACTCTTTCTTCTGCTGCACACCCTGCTGCTGCAGATCATTATCAGTAGCAGAAAAATCTTGTACATTTTCAGGTTATAGTATAAACCCCAAATGTCTATTAACAGAGACTACTGTGTGAATGACATTAACTGTGCTGCCATCAAGTGGAATGATGCAGAAATTAACAGCCAGAGATTATATATTAAATGACCAATATATTTACAAGATATGTGCTGGATTATTTGTTTTACTTTCACTCACCCAGTCATAAACCAGAAGCAGTGCCAAACATTCATTCACAGCTTAACAAACCCATAACAAACCCTAGCAGCAAATAGTTCAGAAATATGTCAGAAGCAGACATATTCACAGAAATTGTAAAACATGTAATGTTAAAACACTTCATGGGATAAAACCATGGTAAGTTTTCTACAGAAAAATTGCTGTCATCAAAAGAATGCAAAACTAATTCAAAAAACTAACAGATATGGGAAAGATCTGTGTAATTGGGGAATTTTTTTTTTTGTATCAGCAGTGCCCTGAATTTTACACAGAAACATGGGCTGCCCCCACCTCAATGGCTCTACCACTGAGCTCCTTGCCTGGGAGGATGGCATGACAGCACCCACCTTGTTCCTCAGGCATGGATCCGCTCCTGCCTCAAGGAGCAGCGCCACGGTCCTCACGTTGCCGCTCAGGACGGCTGCATGGAGAGCAGAGGTCCCATTCTAGGAAATGCCAGTGGAGGTGTTTGTACCATGCATGAGAAGAAAAGCAAAAGGCAGTGAAACACAAAGAACATACCTAGACAAACAATAGACCAGACAAAGAACAGAGGGAGAAAGAGGTAGCATGGAAGAGATTAGGTCATCAAAGGGTACAGGGTCTAATTTAGGGTGCTGGCAGCCTAGTGGGATGTGGAGGAGGTGATTTTCAGTGCTTTAATAAAAATAAGAGTCAAGTTTACTTTACTGCAGCAGTATTTCCTTTTAATAACCACCCTTGTCAATAGATCAGAGATGACATGAACACAGCACTTGTTTCTGCCTGGCAAAATCAGTCATTAGCAAGTGAAACAGAAGCACACGCAGTAATGGAAGCCATCTGTGCATTTTATCTCATCTCTCTGATGATTAATGGCCTCAGTGTCAGGCAGCTGATTGGTAGGGGTTTTTATAGCTGGCCTTTTGTTTGTGGTTGCAAACTGACAGTTCAAATATGTGTGGAAGCTATTTCATATTCAAAATTAATAACTAAGTTGATGCCACCTACATTTTCAAGTACATTAAGTTTGCCAATCATTTGCATGCAGAGAGGCTATCAAAGTATGTGATTTATGGACACATAAAAATTAGGCCAGCCATTAAAAAGCAGCTTCCAAATTTTTCAAGTCACTTTATGAATTCAGAGGAAAACAAAATCAAGTAGAGAATCTGTTCACAACACATCTTTTAGGACACTATTTTGCTGACTAAATGCAATAGAAGGCTGGGTATAATGTTAAAACTGTGCAGTCAAGAGTAATCTGCTTACAGTAGAAATAGAATCAAGTGACAAAAAGCAGAATTTCTTCTATGACACAATGTGCTTCCTCATTCCAATAATTAAATTCACAATTTTCTTTAAAAATATTTGAGTGGCATTAAGGCTAAGAAAGATCATTTTTGTTCCTATGAAGATGATTCCTATGATTCCTATCATCTTCCACTAGAGTAGTCATAAATGCCATGTCTTTTATCAGACCCTTTGTGTTCTTGTGTTCTGCCTAAAAAAAAACTCTGTGTTTCACTACTAACCTTCAGCAGGCCAAGCGTGGGAGAGAATTTCAGCAACTCTTCTATCACATTGTTGTAGCCTTTAATGGCAGCCTTCAGTAAGGCAGTTGTACCATCCTTTAAAAAAAGAGAAATGTCATAAATGCCTTGCCTGCATTGCCTTTGCACAGGAAGCTGGAGGGGAAGAAAAAGCTGGAGGTAAACACCAGCTCTCTCCACACATCTGAGAGGACAGTCTCCTCTGCTCATCACCTTTGAGGGAGCACCTCCACAGCACGTGCTGCTGGTTTTAGGGTACCTGGAGGATTGTTCCTCTGGAGGGTGAAAACTTCAGGATAAAAGAAACCAGTGACACCATATACCATCTTTGTCTCTCAACTATGTGGACATTTCCATTCCCTTATTCCAGAAGGTCCCTCCAGGAAGCTGTCCCAGACACAAAGAGAAAAAGGAAACCCGTGATGGGACTTTGGAACCTGACAAACAGGACGGACTCTGGAGGCACCAAGCCTCCATCCAGGCAGACTTACAGCCCCCAAAATGAGGCATTAAGTTGCAGACAGAGCACAGGAGGAAGTGCTACTCACATCCCGTGCCGCATCTCGCTCAGCTCCCCGGAGCAGCATCACTCGCACCACTTCACTGTGACCCATCTGCGAGGCAATCCACAAGGGAGCTGTCCCGTCCTGCAAACAAAATATGACTCCTGATGGCTTCACTTCAGTGTTCTGTGCCCTCTGATGTTTTACTGCCCAAGCCTACTGGAACTGATGTACTTCAATTACTCTTTCAAATCCTACAGGGAGACAAATGCAAACTGTGTCCAAACCCAAGTGGTAGGTTGATGTATCAAGTTAGAACTGCTTCAGTTTGTGGAGTAGAGCCCTCTTCTCTTGCACTGTTTTCCAGAAATGTGCATTGCTCTGTGAAATTAAAGCCCAGTAAAGCACCAGCCATGCCTAAAATACACAGGAAGTTTGAAACATAGGGGCTAAAGGTATCCTGTGTACTTTGAACTCTAGGTGATTAGATGGGACAGAGGATACAGCCAAACCTCAGCACACAGAGGCAGATTCTGCAGTTGGGTGCCTGCACATAGGGAGTGAAAGTTGTTTACAGAAGCTAGGGAGCAATGCAAGGTGATCACCAGCTTTCAATATTAAATTACATTATCCATACTCAGGGAATCTGATAAAAATATCCTGCCTTAGAGTGAAGGTGAGAATTTCACAAATTTTATCTTCAAAACTCCACTAGAAAACAAGACAATAATCAAGGAATCCAGCATGAAACAATCTGCTTTGGAAAAGTTGTCCTACACAATCATTATCTGAGCACAAAATCTCAGAAAATAAAATGCACATTCAGAGAAAGCTAAACTTTGTGATGGATTTCCCTCCCAAAGGCAAAAGTGTGTTGAAGCACTAGAAGTATTTCTCACTGCAAGTAGAATTTAGGTTTGTGTCTTTTCCTCTTTTTTATTCTAAATGGCCTGATTCTCCAGACTGCAGGAGGATTCCAGCAGTTATGTGGTGCCAAATTTATTCCCATGAGCCTTGAAAAAAGGCTTTGCCTGTATTGGACTTTAACACGGAAGTGTGGCCCCACAAAGCCAGGCTGCTTCTGCCTCTAGGACTTGCCAGTTCCCCTCACCACCCTCTGCAGCCTGAAGGCTTGGCTCAAAAGAGGAAGACAAATTAAACTGAGACTTCAAAAACAGCCTTAATGATAAGTTTCAGGAGACATCAACTTTTTACATTAAATAAGATACTGTCACCTTAATCAAAAAAATAGTCTCACTTCCCAGTCCCAGCTGAAGATTCCTATGACTTGCTCATGCAACCCAGAAAACCATTGTTGAATCCATTCTCTTCTTTCCATGGACTAGTGAATTAATTCTTTTAAAGAAACAGAAAAGTTATTTATTCTTTTGATATAATAATCTGGGCTTCCCTTTTTCTGATTCTGAGAAGGAACAAATGCACATCCTGAGATCTTCAGTATTCTCTAATGGTGGGGAACATGAACTTTGCCCACCCTTGTATCATTTCTCTATAAATTGACTCATTGAATTTAGTGACTGAACTCACTCTGGTATATATATATCCTGTTAATATGAGTGTTCTTTGTGATTCAAAAATAACAAAGGCTGTCTTGTATACAGAGTGTGTGATGCTAGTTTGATGGCAAAAACTGTCCCTCTTCAATTTATTTATTTTAGTGTTTTCCCTACAAGTAACCTGACACTTCATATTTTTCTAATCTCCCCCCACCAGAGGGCTCTAGAAAATAGCAATAGGCACATTGAAAAAGCCTGTAAAACTTGGAAAATATCTGAGAGCAGCCTACACAATTTAATCTGCCCGAAGAGCCAATGCTGTGCAAATCCACACTTGTATTTACACAAGCAATGAAAACACAAGCTCAGCATAGGAAACAAAGCAGCTTTTGTTTACTCAGAGTGAAGTTTGTAGGAACAACCCCTATTTTCATGTATATATGAAAAGGAGCTAAAGGAAATGCAAATGGGTAATATCACTGCTGTCAGACATTATCCTCAGCACCTCAGCTATAGGATAGAGACAAAAGTACATTATGAGGAATAGTGGCTGTATTGAAGGACTTAGCCTGAAGAGAAGAAAGATAGTGAAGAAAATGATGGGCTCACATTGAATATGGTCAGCTTCTTTCTCTTAAGCAAACAGCATCTAGCACTGAGATTTATGCAAATATCTATAATATTTATATGGAGTAGATGAGCTTTTTGTCCATTTTCATGTTGGTGAATGACACAAAGCAGATACTACATTTTACTAAGAATTCATGTGTAAACAGATATTAGGGCTTGCAGATGAGCCAGGAAGAAAGTGAGAGCAGGAAAAGATGCAGTTCAAAATCTACTCTCCTTTCCTTGTCCCTCTGCCCACCCATCAGACTGCAGATCACTACATTACTAGAATAATTTTAAATACCCCATATGTTTGTAAAGTGCTCTTTTTTTCCACATTTGTTTACAAGCTAGTATATATGGACAACAATTTATGATGTCCAGCAGCCAGAAATTCCAAATAGACTCTGACTGAAATTATTAATGCTCTTTGTCTTACCCATTAACTAATGACTTCATCCTGCAGCTTTGAATCTCAACTTTTGCTTATAGCTTGAAGTTTTAGAAAAGGCCAGATTAGGGTGGGAGGTGAAAGACACCTCAAATTTCCAGTAGGTATTTCCAGGGGCAGACAACCCCTACTCTCAGGCTACTCAATGTCATCTCCTCCATTGCTCTGCCTATTAGTCCACTTGCACTACTACACCTAATTTGCCAACAACAAATTACTTGCTTGCTGAAGTGCACCCTATATAGATTTACTGGCTTACATATATGTGTAATTGCATGTCGTGTACTAAGAAAAAAGTCATTAATTTTCAGATTATTTTGAATCTGCTTAGCCAGCCAGAATAAAGCCTGTTGGGACACAGACTGCCAAAACAGCACTGGCAAAGAATCTTACAGCTTTGTTTTGTAAGTTGAAGAAGCATAGAAACATCTCTTGTAGCAGGCTTCAGACATTGCCCCCAGCTCTGTCTAGACAAAAAGATGACAAAAGAATTCCTACCCAGCTCCTCAATATTGGCAAGAGCAGAAGGCAATTACAACCCAAGAGAAAGGACATCGCCAGGGAAGAAACTTTCCAGGAAGCTTCACTATTTGTTCTTGTGAGAGCTGAGCTGAAGAGCTTGCAGATGGATAGCCAGGACCATCCAAAATGCTCTGTGGTGTCAGAAGTACCTTCATGGGACAGGAGGTGGGACACCAGACTGAGGGGGAAGTGGTACCCACTACAGCAGCAGGACCAGACGCATGTGTGCAGGTTCATGGATAAAGCCACCAAATTCCCAAGGTAGAGAGGAAAACTTGGACACCACGAGGAAGGAGAAGATGAACTCACACCTGGAACTCTGTAGCCCTGCATTTGATGTAATGTTGCCTGGAAAAGTCTTCTACCACAGTGAGAGCAATGTAGCTTGTAAATGAGAATTGTCTGGCATCAAAACTGCCCCTTCTAGAGCTACATTCCTCATGACCAGCACGCCACCTTCTAACTAAGTACAAATCCATTTGTTAGTAAGAAAGAGACTGAAGTCCATCCAACCATTACTTGACTAATTAAACAGTAAAAATGTTCCATTTGTTAAGGAAATGTTTCAGATTACAGTGGGCCCAAACACAAATGCCACGCACTTATCCAGGCATAATCTTAGCAGGGATCGGAGGTACCCTCAAGCAAAGAAGGTCTGTCCTGCTGGAGATGAAACAGAGGAGCCAGGAGGAACATTCACACAGAGACAAGTCTCTGCCTCAACTAAGATTTAAAAATCCCTCATGAAACATTGTGTTGTAGAAATTGGATTAGAGAGCTAAAAAAATAGTGTCAGAAAGAATTAGCTGCATTATAATTACAGATAGCAGAATGCAGTTTTAATGGCAACAGAGTGCAGCCAGATCTAAAGCTCCCCAACTATTTTGACTTACTCAAAAGGCATTAATGCATACCTTGGTCTCTCCTTCTACATTGAAATTTTAGATTTAATTAACATCTTTTAACATTTCTTAAGCTTTTTTTTCTAGGCTGTGGAGGCAGCCTAGGAGCAGCTAACGCATCAATCCAGAAGGTACCTGCCAGCACAGCTCTGGTACTCAGATGAGGGGCTAGGGGGAGTAGGAAAACTGTTTCAGTTAAAGCACTTAAATACTAATCCTCTTTCCTTACACTACAGTTAGGAGTGTACACAGACCTACACATGCAGCAGAAGAATATAGATCAGTGTCTGTTGCCAGGCTATCATTTGTCAGGCTTTTGGTGCAGATGAAAGGAAATACTGAAAATACCTGGCGGAGCTTGTCTCATGCCACGTTGTCCACTGTTAATAGAGTTTTTACACTTATTTGCTCTTGCCTGCTGCTTTTTCACTTGCTGCAGTCAGTGATCACAGCCACCTGGCTGACATGCATGACTAATTGCAAGAACAAGACCTTATCCCATCAATTTCAAATGTGCAGTGAAGACCCAGGACAGCTACCTTGCTTCCAGGGTTTCAGCAGACCACAGGCAAGGGTCTCTCAAAGCAGGCAGAGAGCCCCGAGAAGCTCCATCTCTAAACAGACTTTTCTACATGCTGGGTGTAAAGATAGCTGTGCAGCTCCACCTCTGGCTGTTTAGGCACTGATTTTAGAGTCAAGAAACAGCTAAACAATTAAGAAACCCTTTTTTTTGGAAAGCAAGAGAGCTTTCATACATGTCTCTGTATACCACATACACTTACCTATCCCACAGTTCATTTAAAACTAAAAAGCCTCTCGTACCTAACTCCAGCATCCAGTGACGCAGTGTGGATCCAGCCCCTAACCCTAGCAGGGATCTCTGAACCATCAAATCTAGCTGGCACTTTCCATTTAATGATCAAACAGCAGCCCTACTGCTTGCAGAAGAGCTATTTTCATGCTTACAGCTGTTACTGGTTGTATGTGTTTGTAACATCAGGCCCACTAGAGTGACTAGCTGGAAATAGGGAGAAAAGCTTTCCATATGTATCAAGAACTTCCAGAGATTAAGGCAACGCTCATGCTTGAATTTCAGAGCGCATAGGAATGACACAAAGTAAAACAAACAAACAAGCAAAAATAAAACTAAAAATTAAAGCATTTGTCAAAGGTAAACTTTGATACCAAAGCCACATCTGAAGGTCTGGAGATTTCAAAAATTTAGTACTGCCTCCTAAAGCTCCCAAATTTTCAAAAGTTTTTCATACAACTTTCAAAAGAACTTGGGGATGTTGTAGGCTGTGTAGACCTTCAAAAGTAATGGGGAACAACACAAACAGATTGGTAGTTGCAAGAGGTAGTGCAAGGCCTTTACATCAACATTCTATACAGCTGGAGGGTTTTATTTTGATTTAGTTTGGTGCCTGACCCAAACATGCACGTGGTTCAAACCCATTTAAAGGAACAGTCAGTGATTTGACCTGCTCTAGAATCATAGAATAATTTAGGCTGTAAAAGACCTCTGAGTCCAACTGTTAACTCAGCACTACCAAGTCCACCACTAAACCATGAGCCAAGTGCCATGTCTATGCTGTCTTTTAAAAGCCTCCAGGGATGGTGGCTTGTAGGGTGTAATGTGTACATCTAGAGCAGAACTTTCAAGTTTCAATTCTTTCAGAAATGACTGAGATACTGATTTCAAAATCATGTTACCAATTTGAGCTAAAACACAGAATGTTGGCACAGCCACAAATTTCCTTTCAATGAAACACCTCCACAGGAACCCAGTGCCTGGAGAAAATTCCAGTGTTAATTTTCATAACTATAACATTAGAACCCAGCTCTGCCCTGATGTGTTGATCATACCTGTCGTGGCTGGTTAACCTTTGCTCCTGAAGAAAGCAATAATCGGATGACATCCAGATATCCTCCTTGTGCCGCCAGGAAAATTGCAGAAGCTCCATCCTAAGAACAAACACATATGTCTTACACTGCATTGAAGTGATGCCATTTTTCTACACAAAACCACATCAAACTGAATTAAGTTATCAATCTTTAGTCATTATGCTTTGTAATAGCAGATCTACAGCCATGCTCAAGAAATAATTACCAAAATGTGAAGTCTAGTTCATAATAAACCGTGGCAACATTTTCATTCAGTATGCACAAATACTGGTTCCTATCATATATCAAATGCAGCATTAAATCCTGTGTCTGGAATACTAAGAGTCTAGTTCATTGAGCCATTCAGCTACATAACTAGAAATCAGTTCCTGTAAAGTAATGTAGGTTCATTTAGCATGTTCATGCAGAAGTGTTCTGCTACATGGATACATGGTGGAAACACGTCAGGTACTTTGCAAAACTGCAAACCCCAGCACTGAAGTCTGCCCTTGAGGCTGAAGGAGTAAGGCCTGTGCCATACTACTCTGCCACCCCAGAAACCACCATGCTTCTGCTCTGGAATATCTTGTATAAGAGACTTCACCTGTTATATAGTAATCTAAAAGTATTTTGTAGCCATAATAAAAACCAGAATTTTCCTGCACAAAGCTTGTGAAAGAAAAAACTGTGAAAAAAATACAGGTTTTTATTTTTCTTTGATATGTCTTTCATGTGCAGATGTTCTCGGAATTTTACTTCAGAGAAACCTCTTCCACAGGAAAAAAATTAAAAGTCATATTTCATTAAGTGTTTTTGATGGAACATTTTCAAACAGCATTATAACCAACTATAAGTAGAAATCTGTATTGAGGGTGGGACAGGTGTTTACCCATCCTACATCCACAGCACTGAGCACAGGATGTGCTAGGACAAGTTTTCCCAGGAGGCGAAAATCTTTTAGTTTAAATAGAGACAGGAATTAACCCCTTTACTACGTCTCAGATGTGCAAGTACACCTCTCATGCCAACTCAGGCAAGTGCTTATCACAAAATACAGGGCATTTTAGTGAAAGCCTGCTGTTGACCTTGTTATCATATCACCATGTTGGGACTAAATGCTGTTGTCTGCAGTCAAAGAGTGCTTAGCTACTCCTCTAACTTAAAAACTCAGCACAGGCTTGGTGAAGCATGACCTGAATATAGTTCCCCAGGGACTGAATTTAGGATTTTTGACATTTATTTCAAGACAAATGTCCTGGTAAACAAAAGAGGTGTCTGCTGGAACTATTAATGCCTGTCCCTGGGACATCTGATGGGCTGTTTTCTCTGGTTGTTGAGTATATGAAGAAACCTGGTGGTACCAGAGCCTTTGCAGGCTTCCTCCAGAGACAGAGAACACTTCAATTTAGAAAGTAAACAAGATTGTGTGATATTAAAAAAGCTCTTTATTGTAGGATAAATAAAGATGGAGAGCCTTGCATTCACTGATACGTATTTGATTAGAATTGATGCTCTAATGAAAATGCTGTTCTGAGGCCATAGCGTATTTCTGCAAGAAATGCTATTTAGTTAGAGTATTCTTTGTCTCTTGCTTTCCTGACCCCTCACATGAGTCAATTTAAGATTAAAACATTGATTTTGATAGTTTTGGGAGAAGTATCTAAATGCTCAAAATCCCTCTCATCTGGCTGCCAGTGAAACTGCCCTCCAGGTACCACTTGACAAATGCAGCTTGGCCCACAAAAGAGCTAGACAACACTTTTTTTCAAGAGATCTTATTTTTATTTTATTGCACAACTGTTTCTGACTGCTTTTGCCCAATGTCTGAGAGCAATAAAAGTACATTTTAAAATCCAGTTGTAACTATTGCTCATTTCCAGGAGACACAACAAGGAAGTTATTTTACTGCCTTGACCTCTGGGTAAGAGTCTGCAGGTGTGGCAGCATAGCTATTTTTAAACTGAGTGGCAGCTCCTGGGATTACCCTGCAGAGGGATGAATCACTGCCCTCAGATCAGAAAGACAATTCCTATTTGCACAACAGCTAGGGTGGAGCAACCTTCTTTATAAATGAGGGGTGAGGCAGCTCTGAGGTGGGGATCCCACTATGACCACTCCTGCAGTCACCAGCACTCAGCTCCCCTGCAAGCCAGCAGGAACTGGGAGTGCAACAGCACCCTGCAGATCCAAAGCCAATGGAAACAGCTGAAAAAAACTCTTATATCTTGGAGAAACAACTTCCTCTTTGTCTGTCTTGAGTGCCTTGGGGTAGGAAAGAGTAGTGGGAAGCAGAGACAAAATCTGCTACTCGTTTCTGTTGAATGCTGCAAAGCTCAATTTATCTGTGTCTCTGTTGGAGTAAATTAAATCCAGAGCTTTATTGGTTCAATCCAACTTTCTGAAAAGTCAACTAAACAACATCAGTTCAGCTATTTTAACCTTACTTTGCCCAAAACACTGGCAAACTGGAGATTCATAAATACCAAATAACATATTTTAATTGATATTTAAAAAAAATGCTTTGAAGTAATTTTAAGATTTTAATTTTTACTATTCCTTCTGGCAGAAGACTAATGTACTTCAGTGGCTCTAGAGCTATTCACTCTTCTACAAATTGCTCTTTCATCCAAGGCTAATGGGTAGCACAAGTCCTCCAGATTTGGTACATATCCTCCATACAGATCATCAACCAGAAGGCAGCCAAAGAATCTTTTCTGATTTTGTGCTACTTCACTCAGCATCATGAAAAGCAGACAGTTAACAAAATCCACATCTTAGAGGAACAGAGTACTATAAAACGGCAGCATTTGGCAAATGCCTGTCTGTGCTGGAGCCAGGGTGTCTGCTGTTGTCCAAGCAACAGCACATTTGTTCCACCACCACCATTGTCAATATTGTGTGTGTCAAATAACTCACATAGAGTTGATCGTGAATGTTGGCGCCGTGCTTCAGCAGAGTTTCCACTACTTTTGCATGCCCGTACTGACAGGCAGCCAGGAGAGCTGTGCCTCCGTCCTGTGAGAAAGCAAAGAATGGGTACAGTCAGGTGGGACTGGGCTGAACATCACCACAAAAATAAAGAGCCAAACTTTAAGACTTTTCAGAATTTGGCTCACAGCAGTTCTGTAATGAGTAGCTACTGAATCTTTCATAAATTTAATGCCAAGTGTTGACATTTAAATCTTTCAACTTGGCTCAGTCACTATATAAATTTTTCTCCTGAGTTTTTTTAGGGAGGGAAAGGAACTAAGAAAATTCTGTTTTTCATTCCTTATCTTCTGCCTTGCCATTGGAAGCTTTGTTTCTTTCACAACTCCAAGCTCCTCCACATCTCTTCCTCATGCCTGCTAAACTCTTTTACCGATGGAAGGACTGCACACCTTTCCACTGCTCCAGAGTCTATTGATCATCTGTACTTCTCTGCCCAGAACCTTGTGCCCTGTTTTTCTCCTGCCTCTCATCAGTGGATTGTTGGCCTGAAGCTGAATAGAGAGGAAGCATTTTAAAGTGTGCTATCTGACTGTGGAAGTGTGAGTCCGACCAAAGCCATGCCCACCAGTGAAAGCTTTGTTACTTCTGCTTGAGAAGCGATCCCTGCAGGTAGGATCAATCCCAGGCAGTTAGAGTTGCTGCACATCACCACTAAAGGGAGACCTAGGCACATGCATCAATCCCTGCTTGTAGAAACATTTCCTTGGGAGCCAGCAGAGAAGGGAAGCACCTCAGTATCACTGGTGGTTGACTCCAAACCAGCTGGAACAACTGAGACAGCAAAGTCTTGCCATCTTAAATGTGCTGTGCCCCGCTCAAAAATTACCAGTGTTTCAGACACAGCTATGGAGAGGGAGTCCTTATCTTCTGCCTGGGATGGCATCATGCCATTGTGCAAAGATGATGCACATCCCAAAATGTCCCCACCACAGGTCTTCTCTCTTCTCCTCTACCATCTCCCAGTCTCAAGCCTCTCCTCCACAAGATAAGCTATCTAAAGTATTTCAGGTAAATGGTTTCTAGAGCTGTTATTAATGTGGACACAAGACTGTGCTTTGGCCTAGCCTTGTTCTCTGAAACAACTCCAAAGTTGTCTGAGATTTTCCATGCAGACAGATATCCAAAAAAAGAAGTTACAGCTTGAGTGACCAAATGGATCTTTTATAATGAGAAGTGACAGTGAAATTTATTAATCAATGGTGCAATTTCATGTAATAGCCTTGTGAAAACTCAAGCTATGACATGATTGAATTAACCCACAAGCACTGTTTATAGGTACCCCCAAAACCTCATATTCACCCTTCCTGACTACAACATTTAAAAGAAAAGAAGGCTTGGGTGTCAACAAAGCCAGATATGTGAGGCTGTTGTGTGACAGTCTAAGAATTGCCTATTAATTATAGATCAATTGAGTAAATTCAGTGTGTAACCAGGTCAGTGGATTTAAGTTTCTCTTACAAGTAATTAGACTTTCCTGCCAAATTAAACTACCGTAATTTAATGGGAACTGCTGAAACAAAGCACAAAAGCAATCACAATTGTGCCTGGATTAAAGAAACACCTTATACACACTTAAAAGACAATGGAAAAGCTAATAGCTTCATGAAACCTATTTCCTCTCCCCAGCCAGATGAAAGCCACTTTGCTCAAGTGGTGACAGCAGATCAAAGGGCTAGAAACAAAAAAAAAAACACCAGAGACATTTTTAAAGACTTTTTCCCTGAATGAAGTTAAGAGAGAAAAGTTAGTGAATTAAGAACAGAAACTGTGCTGTCCAGACTGAAGGTCCTCTGTGTAGAGGCAAGTTTTAGGAAGCTTAAAAATATTAAAGTTCCCTGTATGGAGGGTAAATAGACATGCTCATTTGGTTGCATATGGGAGAAATTTGTTTATTGCTTTTTGGTCTGGCTTTTGTTTTCTAAAATTCTTGTACTCTCCATAAACTCCTGCTATTTTTAGAAGATTGTTATTATCATGATGTCTGTAGGGAGCCAAGTGACAGGCTCAAATAAAAGGCAGGCCTGCAAAGCTAACCGCATTTGGCACAGCAGAGCTGAAGCCCAAAGCTTGGAATCCCAAAGTGTGATTCCACCTTGGGAGATGTGACAGCTTGCGGTTTAGGAATGGCAACACTCTCTCAAGACATGCCTAATTAATTCAAAAAGGGGTTCCTGACCAAGTGTTTGGTTCAACCCAGCAAACCGTTTTAGATAGATACACTTTTTTTGAAAGAGTAACACAATGCCAAAATATACCATTTGGATCCCTTCAGACTAAAGTGACCAAGTTTTCCTAGATCAATCTGATCAGAGTCCAGAGGTTAGAAAAGGAGCACTGGATGGTCCCCAATTCCATCTGTCCACTCTGAAGCAAATATTTATTGTGGCAGAGAGAACTGGGTAACAATTCCTGGGCTCAAAGATCTGCTCCCTGATCAGGAACACAGCTGAGCTCTAAGACCTGCTCTGCTGTCTGTCTGATATATGAAGCTGAATACATAAAACAGAACAATAGTTCTGTTGTGATAATACAACAGAAGGGATTGGGATTACTCTGCATGCTCCGAGCTGGGGGTACCACTGTGAAAAATCAGATCTTACATCTTTGTGTAAGGCAGGGAAGCTGGGGGCAGGAAACTTTTCCACAGACCATGTGATAAGACAGCCCTTAGTTAAATCAAACAGTGTGAGGGCCCACTGTTAATTAGTAGGAGAAAACTCAGTCCCCCTCTTGCCTTTATGGAGCTTCCATCTAGTTTTCTCTTACGCTTCACTCCAGTAAGCTCTAGCTGAAGCTCCCAATGTTTTACAGACCATAGGGAAAGCAGATAAGTTGTGGGGGATAAATAAAAAAGTAAATGACAGAGTTTTAACACCCTTTTCAGCCACGTGATTACCTCTTTCCTTTTTGGCTTCAGCTGAGGTAAGTAAAAAGCTGAAGCAGCGTCTTTGGTACTGGCAAGCCCCTTGGAAACTCTGAGCAGGGCAGCAAGTGGGAGCCGGACACGTGAGCAAGCACTGTGGTGCTCCTGGGGCTATCACCCCTTCTGCAGCAGGCAGGAGGCCACTGTGCAACCTCTTAGAGATGGCACAGTGCCTTGGGTTCACTACTTGCTCATATCCTGTTTTCCTGACACAATGAAGCTTCTATTAATCCTGCACTGCAAATATTTCCAGCTCAGATAGGAGCTGGACTTTTCTCAGCTACCTCTGCAATTCTTTCCCTGAAACCATTTTTCTGCCCTCCCCAGAGTCTGTCCTCCTCACTGCCAGCACATAACAGCAGGTGCCAATCTGCAGTGAAAATACTTGGAACAGCAGCGCTGGGTAAGACCACACTAAGTGGTGTTCCCCTGTCTGTTCACTGACCCCTTTCCTCTGTCATCATCACCTGAAAGTAGCTTGGAATTATATGTTGTTTAACCATCTCTTAAATACGGTACAGAGGAGAAGAACTGATTTTCTGCAATCACTGCTTGCTGAAAAATAGCCTCTGACATACTGTTCAACCTGCAGTACTGCTTGGAAAATGTGCCACCATGTTTTTTAAGAACTCACATGCTTATCACACCTATCAGAATAAAAGAAAAAGTTTCAATCTATGTTAAATATTTCTATGGATGTCAGACTGGGACAACGCAGAATAATATTAATGACTAATATTATATGTAATAATTATATAATAGTTAACCTACAATAGTACTATTTATTCTCTTTAGAACATCAGCATTTATTGCTAATTACTTTATTACACAATTTTAGAATAGTTTTATTTGTCTGCCATAACAAATATCAATTCTAATGATGCAAGGCTTAACACAAATTGCATGCCTGTATTAAGATTGTTCTCCAGAATCCTCATACATGAATAACAAATGTAGTAATCACAGTTTACAGGTAAGTGCATGAAAAAGATGTTGGGCTTTGCATTTCCTCAGTTAAAAATCTCTAGGATTTTTGTTTTCTAGGATACATTCAAATTTGTGTGCTTATTCCAAATCCATGTCATAATTTATAATAGAAATATATATATTCTTTGCAAATGGATTAATTTTGCCCTTTAAAAACAGGATCAGCCATATGTTTTCCAGTGCTGCTCCCAGATGGGTGTCTTAGTAAGAAAATGCTTTGTCCCTAACCTGAAAAGGAGTATTTTATCAACTATATTGTTTCTGGGGCTTGGGAGGAATGGAGGAGCCTGTCACGTTGGTCACCTGTTAACAGAACGATGGAATTATTCCAAGCTATGGAAACCACATTATTAAATCAGAAGGTTGAACTGATACAAAGCCACACTAGCTGGCCAGTGGAAGATGTGGACTGTCCATGCGCTACACCTGACTGGTGCCTCCTGCTCAGGCACATGCTGGGTGATGCAGCTGGAAAATCATCTCACATGCACATCACACACCAGTCTCCCATGATATGTCCATTGGGAGCTGGTGTTGTCTTTCAGCCAGCTTGTCTGGATGTAGCAGAAAGCTGTGGTCTGGAGAGGAAGAGCAACCAGCAGCTTAAAAAATACTTGGGACTGGCATATGGGCCAAGTCAGGTCTGGGTTCAGAAGCAGAGGCAGGCAGGAAAAGAGAGACTGGAATTAAAGTTGCAAGGTGAGCAACAGTAGACCCCAAATTTGCATTTGTCCAAAGATGGAAGCTATCTGGAACAGCTGAATATAGGAATATTCTTTTATATTTAGATCTTTGTTCCCCTTTATTTGTCCTAGTGTTTCACACCAATATATTTTGCATGCTTCATAGAAGATTGTGTATTGTCATGAAGGATCAGACAATTTCAAGCCTGTAGTTCCACTCCTGGATCAAATCCTGGCATCTTCACAAACTCCTAGTTCACAGGCTGTGGAAAGATTGAGTGAAGATCTAACTGTCCCTCTAGACAAAATAAGGTACTGAGCCTCCAACTTGCCAGCTGAATGCAAGGGGAGATGACCCCTCTGAATCTTGTTAACCACCACCCATACCCTGAAAAAAAAGTCAGAGAAGCATCATTTATTTCAATGTGCAACCTTATCCAATAAGTTTGTCCCACATGAGATTATCCATCACTTTAAGATAGAGCTGTTGTGTTTAACAAAGCAACCTCCTGCATTGTTAACTTTCACTGTTGCTCTTGTGTTAAACAGCCACAGTTTCATTCATGCTTTTATTACTGATTGCTGCTGTGGTCAGAGAGTTGCTCACCACAAGCACAGTTCCCTGGAGTATCAGAATCCTACTCTATGGGCATGTGTGAACTCTGGCCACAAAACATCGGGATTTTTAGCTCCTGGAGTGTAAGGAACTGAGTTTCTGATATTCCATCGATTTGCTCAATATTTAGAGCCTGTACTTCCAGGGACTCCAGGAAGGTATGGATTGAGACAATCATTCAAATCACAGACTAAAGTATCTGGAGAAACTTATTATTGCAGAGTAAAGAATTATTGCTTCTTCAAAGATATCACTAGGGATCCCAGGGTAAGTGACTGGTAAATGTCCTCCCCACCAGATTACGGGAACGCTTCAAAATGTAGCCAGCAGATCAAGGACAAGTAAATTTAATGAAAATATGTTGCTTTTTCCCCCTGTTTGCTGAAAGCAGAGGTGCTAGTACTGCCTTGGGCAAAGAAACTGGTTTGATGTATTGCTGTCAGTGATGAACTGCTGATCTTGCTGCTGTTGACACCATGAGGGGTGAGGAACCCAGGCCCTGCCACCTGTACTTCTGGCTGTTCTAAGAAGAGTTTGGAAAAGGACCTGCCTGAACAAAGAAATAAAAGCTCTGAGGTGCACTTCATCTTCTTGTCCCAGATGGGAAACTAGGAATTTAGAGAGGACTATGTATCCCATGGTGGCATGCAGAGACATCCCAACAGTGATGAAATATAAGTTCTATGCAATGAGAGTACCTAACCACCTAAATCAGGATCCTACCTGGTAAGTACAAAAAGACCCTTTGATCTTTTATTAGAGGATGGCTTATAAGGAAAGACTGATATCACTATCAAGGGACCCTGATGAACTTATGCCTCCTAGTCTAGGTTGGAAAATCTAGTCCAAAATTAACATTTCACAATGTGTTGCATTACTCATATTACTCAGAAAATGTTCATGTGAGGAGATTTCATCATCTTAACACTGCCTGGTCATGTTTGATGTGAATACAAAGAACCCAGCCTTGACCGTCAGAATGTATTAGCATGCAAAAATAGACCTATCATCTTACTTTATTCTTAAATTCAGTGGAGGCTCCAAATGAAAAGAGAAACTTCACTACATCGTTGTGGCCTTGCTGTGCAGCAAAGAACAGAGAAGTTGCACCTGACTGTAAAGGAAAAATGGATTAAAATAATAACAAACACATAACACACTTGACTGAAGTATAGACATTTCAAATTAAAAACTATTGAGCTCAATCAGTTGAATATCAGCTGAAAAGACATGATGAATTTGAAGACTCCAGAGGACACCAGGTATCTTAACTCAGTCTTCCTCACATTGCACTGAAAAATCTGTCCAGCGCCATACATTTGAGTAAAACCAAGTAAGGGAAGGAAGATTCAGGCTTTTCTGACTTTGGGCTCTCTCACCCCATTTAGAAAACGGGAAGCTACACTGAAATTCACTCCAGTGAATAGTACTTTATAATAGCACGTGGTCCCATTTTGACCATTTCAGAGCCTGCTCTCCTGGGCACATTTATGGGACTCTCACTTCCCCAAGCTTCACAGCAACTTCAAAGCACAAGAGCACTGGTTGGAGTAACTGCACTTAGTTGCAGAGCAGTGTCATTGGTCTTTAGCACTTAAACTTCATCTGTTTTGCTTCCTTTCTGCAACAGAGTGGTTTTGGAAGCTTTCAGTGTTTTTCTTTTCATTGGCTTGTTGAATCAGTATTTCCTGAGGGATAATCAAGAGCAGCTCCATAAAACTGTTCTTAACTTTTTTTTATTTTTTGCTTCTTTCCAAGCAATGTTTACCTAAGGGAAGGGACATATTTAAGTACATGTTTTGTTAGAACAGGACCCCACTGAAAGACACTGACAATCATGGTTAGAGCAAGTTTAGGCCAGTAAGTGTAAAGACACCTACATCATCAAACGTGGCATTCACTGACTCAGTAACTTGCAGATGTCAGCATGAGATTAATGCTCTGGTTCCAGGTAACCAAGGAAAGTAAGAAACATTGGCTTGTACGGTTGGAGCAAAGAGCACACTGCTATCCTACATGACCTGCCACCATCCCATGTAACTGCATGACCTCCTTAAACTGCTCTTCTCTTAAAACCAGTGGTTTTCCCAGAGCAATTCTGCTCTTTGCACAGCCAACACGCAGACCAGAGCAACTGCAATCCTTACAATTGTCTGCATGGAGTATGAGTGAAAGGCAATTTCCACAAAAAAATCAGTTGCTGATGTCCCTTCCATGCTGATGTCATGGTGCAAGACATGCCTTGAATGCTAAGCAGAGATGCAGGGGAGGATACGGGTGATAAAGCTGTGTGACTGCTAGGGATGAGTTGGCTCAGACTAAAAGGCAGAAACTTCAAAACATACAGAGTCAAAAATAATCCCTGTACCAGCAATGGCATCCACTCCATTTTAATGACAAGGCTGCAAATCAAAAAATAAAGGTCCTCTTATTATTTATCCCATCCAGAGATCTGTAAATTGTTGTGCCAAAAAGTAAAACTGCAAATACATAAAATGGCATAACTCTGAGAGGTTACATCCCAGATGTAACTTACCCTCACCAACCAGATGTGCTGAAAATGTTTGATGAGTTATTATAAATGTACCTCTGGCATCTGATTTTCTCTTGTAAAATCCAGATATCTGATTCCCTGATGTCCTCAGAACAGAGCCGTTTATATGTGTTATAAGTACACTATACAGCAAGTGACAAAGAAACAATTGGCAACAAGCAGCAGACAACACTCTTATTATTTATAACAAACCAACAGTCACTTAATCAAGCCCTGTTTGAATCCTACCTCTCTCTGCAGATTGATATCTGCTCCTTGCAACACCAATTCCCGTACACAATCTATGTGGCCATAGTAAGAGGCTACCATCAGAGCTGTTGTGCCAAGCTGGGAGTAAGGAAAAACAAGTCAGTACCTTCAACAGACACCTACTGCAATGAATCAGGCTGTCTGGATGAGACAGCATCTCTGCCAAAAATCTGGAGGGAGCTTCTGATACCTTATTGTCCCAAAATTAGTGCAACAAGTACAAAAATAATGGGTTTTGTTCCTAAACAGCTTTTTTATCCTCTCTTTTTAATCAGAAAATACCGAAGTTCTTTGCATCATTTCCAGAAGAATAACCTCAGACACAGGAGCTGAGTGACTCAGCTGAGTCACTTAGAATTCTGAGTCATAGTCAGGAGAAGGGGCTGGGTGATTTGAACAGTAATTCCCTATCCAAATAATGAGAGCAAACTCACTCAGTGACTCTTCACATTATAAGAGAGAACTTTCTGTACAAAAATCTGTGTTGAACTCCCTCAGTACACTATAAGGTCACTTCCAGTGAAGGAAGTAGGATTTATATGTATGCAGTGTATGGACAATATGCAGAAACCACATGCATAAGGATGAAACACATCCTTCAAAACCCTTCACACACAGCAGCTCAATTCAAAGAAGGAATAGGTGATATTACAAGAAAGAAACATGCAGTCTTAATTGTACAAAAATCATTTAGTCTAGAAAATGTATATGTCTAATACAATTATTAATGCAGTGCAGTGTGAAAGTTCTTGTCCAAAGTTAGCCTTCTTTTTATAAAAACTTGAAGTAGTGACTTTATTTTTTTCACATTGATCTCTGTCCTGTTTACTTCAAGCCTCCATTTGAATAACCTTCCCTCCCTTGTCAGAAGGAAAGTCATAACACCAGCTGCTTAAGTACTGTAGGACAAATACTTCCCTACAGGGCAAAAATGAAATGAAAATGAAAAGACAGGATAAAGTCAATGGGCTTAGAAAATCTCTTACACTTTGAAGGTATTCAAAGTGAGAGAAGCTGTGGCAAGTTCATGTTTCAGGTTGGAAGTAGCATCAATCCTTGCCAACACCACATGACTCCGTGTCAGTCAGTCCCAATGCCAAATAAAAGAAACCTGGAACTTCTCAACCTCCTTTTCCTCTTGCTCTTTGACACAGCTTAGCACAATCAAGTATCTCACCATCTGTTGTAGGCAGAATAGAAAGACCTATTCATTATCTGTGTTATCAACCCATTTCTAATCTCAAAACTAATTTCAACCCAGGTAAATTACAGTAAGGAAATTCCCATGAAATCTATCATGTGTCTGGGCTCCTCTTGCTTGGCAATCTTGTGCCTTCCTGTTGATGCCCAGTCTAGAGATTGGGTGGAGGAGGAAGAATTTAGGAGGCCAACAGTTGCTCTAATTATGAGAAGGTCTGCTAGCTGACAGGATCATTGCTACCTGGGCTCAATTGAGCCAGCTCTTCACTGTGATCTATTACTACAATGACATTTCTTTGCAAAGAGAAGCCCGAGGTGCTAGGATCTGTGTTTTTAATGTCAGCACCACAAATAACTGTGTAAGACACATTTTTGAGTGCTGGCAAATTCTTAACCCCTTGCCACCGATGTAAATCATCATGCTATTTCATCGTATGTTTCAAATGACAGGAGAAGGTTTTAAATCATCCTGAAGTACCATAAGACATTCATATGTTTCATGTTAGATCCCAACTACACCCTCTGCATGGTGGGCTATGGAAAGTGATGCAAAATGAGTGCTGTGGCTGTAGGTGCATTGTGTGCATACGCTGTCTTTGCAGTCCACATCTACTCGCCCACTGTTCAGCAGCAGCTGGAGGAGAGCCAGGTTTCCTTTTCTTGCAGCCCAAAATGCAGCATTGGCAAGTGGTGTTTCTTTCTGGTGGAAAAAAGGAAAAGGGAAAAAAAAAAAGAAAGCAGAAGTAAATCACTTTGGAAAATACATTGGCCAAGGATACACATTGCATACACATTGCATTCAAGCCAGGCAAGTTTCAGCTTAGTGTGCTGCTCTTTCAAACCCAGAGCATGGAAAGGAAGCTAATTTCATTTATTTTTGCAATTAAAGAGACCAGTCTTCCTGTGCTTCCTTATATTATTTCAAGTCTTCTTTGTGTCCACGGCAGCCTATGTGTCTTAGATTGCTCTGTAATGAGAAATGATGATGCTAGGCCAGATCCACAGGAAAACATCACAGAAAACAACATGCTGAGTGATGTCTGCATTGTCTGCTTCTGTGCTGGGGCTGGCCACAGTCAGACTGAAGCATCCTGCTTACATATCTTGCTGCAGGACATTCTCTTGGGTTTCAGATTATAAAAGTCAATCATTCAGCTTCAGAAATGACATGGGCACTTCTTGTTTAAATGTCAATGCACACATGTAATGTGGCAGGGAATCAGGATTCAATAGTTTTATGCTTTATAATTAAAATGCACATACACAGCACAGTTTAAATTGCTTCCTTCACTGACATGAAGACAATAAACTTTGCAGAAACCAGCAGACACAAGAATCATGAATCTGAATCTATCTCAGGTCTGTCACACTGAGCACTTTCCATGGGTTGCATTTTTAATATTAATAGGTTGGAAAACTGGCAGCTGTTTTACATGAGAGATGTTCCAACCATTAAATAAATTATAAGTTTCTTCCTATAAATTGATTGTGGTATTTCTTGTACCAGCACACACAGGGATAGGAGTCTGAAAATTTTAGCAAGCACAGTAAGCTAGATTCTGATCTTCTTTTCACAGCTATTGCATTTCCCTGGAGGATCTGTAGATAATGTTGATTAAAGTATAGACATCAGTTTATACCCTCCTTGCTGGCAACACAGTCTTCCTAACACCTTGCATAGTGGCCTTCCTATCCTTAGGACCACTAAGTTTTGTGTAAAAGCAAACCATTGACCAGAACACACAGAGGCTCATGTTGCCCTTTCTGCTCTGATTTATTAGATAGATACTTATTTATAGAGCTGGCAGTTAGGAATATTGTCTTTTTGGCTTTGTTATGATATTCACTGGAAAGCTATTGCAAAAGAATTATGTCTAGACTTATAGAATGGTAAGGTCTAATTTTGATTGTGGACAATCAAATTCTTTACCTTTTACTATCTCAAACTATCCCTTAAAGTTTTAGAGGTAAGGCAATACATCCATAAAGGGAAAGGTTTATTTCATTCACCCCAGTTTTCACTACATGGGCACAGTAGCAGACTGAATTTTATTATGGCTCATTATACATCACCACTTTCACTGGTCAGGTAGGCAGGAACTGGAATCCATATTCAGGAAGTCCTTACCTGCTTTCACCAGTTCACCAGTGAGAAGAAAAAAGAACTAAATGTCCAGTGTGACCCTGGAGTGAAAGTAGAAGTTCAAAGTCTTTGGCCTTATGAGTCATAAGTTCCTACCTTTTTTTTCTCCCCTGTAAGTCCTACAGTAGCACTCCAGCAGAGTTGTCCTTATACTTTGGATCAGACCCAAGGAATGGAAGAACTCTTCAGTGCACAAAGGACACAAAACCAAGTTTTTTCCCCATTTGACTCTTATTAAGCACTTTTACTTCCTCTTGTGCCCCTACATTGCTTGGGATTCCTTGTATAAAAGCAGAGTATACAGCACACTCAGACCATCAAACATCCAGCAATTAGATTAAAAAATCAGATGCAAATCTGAGCTATTTTACCTGCTAAGGTGAATGAAAGTGCAAAATCATTCAGATGATCTGGGCACCTTACATGAACAGCCTCATTGTGTACCATGTGGCAGTTTATATATCTCTGGATCTATATGTCTGTGCTCTTAATTTCATCTGCAATACTGACATCACTGGTAGGCAAAATGTAAGACAGCACTTTGGGGTTAATAATCCAATTAATGGACTTATTTTTGAGCAATAAATGGGTTTATAGCTGCAGGATGTGACTGCTGTTTTTGGTTTTGAACTCTTGTCTCATCAGATACTTCCCAGGGAGAGGTAGTGTTCAATTTCAGGAGATTAATTGGACAAAATTTTTATGTAATTCTTGCCATAAAGCTAGTTTGCTCCCAAAGCATCCTCAAAGTAAACAACTGATCCTCAGCACTGACAGTCTGGGAACAGAATGTAATAAACATTTGAAAATTATTAGCTAATAGCTTTCATGAAAATTGCTTGTTTCATTATGTCACTTGTGCCAGCATGAGCAACCTTCAGGAGAGAAGTTCTTTCACTTCATCAAGTTCCCTAAAGTTTTTTTAAAATCTGGGTATGCTAATGATTTTGATTGTTTGTGTGCTTTTATGAGAGACCAAAGATGAAAAGCTGGCATTATATTTATGCTGTATTGACATTAGAAAAAACACTTTTTCAAAAATGGCGTAGAGGAAAATATATATTATAAATCTGACAAAATCATTTCTCTGCAGGGATGCAGAAAATAATGAATTGTGCTAATATATCTGTGTCATTTCAGGAATATTGAGGGGGAAAGTATAATTTAAATGCTGTGACCACCAGCTCCTGCTCCCTGTCTTACCTTTGACTTGCTGTTTGCAGAGAAAGGGCAGGTGACAGTGGGGTGACCGCTGAGGAGGAGGAAGAGTGGGAACAGAGATCTTGCAGATGAAAGAGGCAATGGACAAAGAGAAAGAAAATAATGGAGAAAGAAAATGCAAGTCTGCCCAGTAGCTTTTTCCTTGTTCTGGCAAAATACAAGAAAACTATCTTTTCTTTCTTAGTTTCCAAACCAGTCCTAATGGGAAGGAGGAACTGAGTAAAAAGTTTTAAGAACTGGAAATCAGGATCAAACATGACGGAAAAGGCTAGTGCAACTTAGGAGCAGAGTTCTTCATTAGATAGCAATATATCCTACATGATAAAAATAAAATCCTTTTTATCCTTCCTGATAAAAAGGAAAGGTGGTGCAATATATAAATGTTGTTTAGTCAGGCAAAATGTGGTAGAATACAGGATACTTGTGTGAGAAAGAAAGATAAATGCTATGCCGTGGGTAAGTAGGATAATAAGATGGAAAATGTGAACAGCCAGTGGCAAACAGGTAGTGAAAATCCAAGTTACGTTCATGATCTTCCAAGAGAAAGAGAAAATGCCAAACAAATGTCACAGAAAAGGGAGAGAAAACAGAGAGAGGGAGGTATGGTCTGCAGCTCTTCAGAGGGAGGGGAAAGCAGTGAGCTACTTTGGACAGGAATACTTGAGGGAATACATTGTGAGAAATAGGGCACAGAAAAGGAGCTGCTAGGGACAGAACAGAAAGTAAGACCTGAAGAACAAGTTAAACAAACAAGGAGGCCGAAAAAGGGGTAAGAAAGCAAGAAGAAGCTGGCATCATCAGGAACATGGGGCTGTTAGGGTGGATGCTTGTGCGTAATGAAGGTGGGAAAAAACTCACAGAGACAGAATGAAAGGACAGAAAAACTAAGGAAAAAAAGAAACTAGGTGTGAGACCAACACAGGACCAAAAAGGGGATGACCACAGAGATTGCTGTCCAGAAAGCCAAGTGTATCCTGGGCTACATCAAAGGAATCCAGACCAGCAGGTTGAGGAAAGAGATCCTCTCCCTCAATTCTGCTCTGGTAAGACCACACCTGGAGTACTGTGTTCAGCTCTGGGGCCTCCAACATAAGGATGTGGACCTGCTGGAGCAAATCCAGAAGAGGGCCATGAAGATGATCAGAGGGCTAGAGAACCGCTCCTATGAAGACAGGCTGAGGGAATTGAGGTTGTTCAGTCTGGAGAAGGCTCCAAGGAGACCTGAGAGCAGCCTTCCAGTGGCTAAATGGGACCCACAAGAGAGATGGAGAGGGACTTTGTACAAGTGCATGTAGTGATAGGACAAGGACAAATGGCTTTGAACTGAAAGGGGGTAGGTTTAGAGTGAATATTAGGAAGACAATCTTTACTGTGAAGGTGGTGAGGCACTGGAACGGGTTGCCCAGAGAAGTTGTGGATGCCCCATCCCCAGAAGTGTCCATGGTCATGCTGGATGGGGCTTTGAGCAACCTGGTGTAGTAGAAGGTGTTCCAGCAGGGGGCTGGAACATGATGATCTTTAACCCAACCCAAGGCATTGTATGATTTCACCACCAAGAGTAAGATTGAGCAAAGGTTCTCTGCTGCCTGCCACAGGGGGGCTTTAACTGCAGGTGGGAACCACCTGCTGCGCCACCACTGAACTGAGACGGTGCCACTGAAGCACCAAGATTCCAGGAGGGAGGCACCCTGACAAGTACAGGGAATAATCCATCAAATCAAAAAATGCAACACAAGCAATATGGCAGAGGACTGGCACTGAGCTGCTGATCAATAAGAGAAGGGCAAGCACAGCATCCAGAAAAGTGCACAACAGAGATGAACATCCATCATAAATATTGTCTGCTAACATCATTAGTAAAATGCTGCTTGCTTCCATCTTTGCCAAAAAATCTTATTAATCCTGCCCTTAGATTAAAAACTTCTTTAAGGCAATCTTCTGAAATGATTGCTCTTGCGTGGTTTGGATGGAAGAAGTACAAAAAGTGACAGGAATCACAGCTGGCAAAGGGAACGAACCAGTCTGGCTTCAGTGGCCACCACAGCCTGAGAGGAAGAGCACGGATAAAGACTGCCTCCTAACTATTACACAACCAGAACCAGCAGAGATGGTCGTAAAAGTGAGGAGGAGGCTCCTGACTGCACCAAAACCCACAGCACGGAGCCCGGCCACCCCAGAGCCAGCGTAGAGCTCCACGGAGGCTCGCAGTTTATGTAAGA